CAAAGATTGGTTGATACTCTATCTTGCATAAGATAGTTGCCCCCTAAACTATCCTCGGGCGCCATGAGCTACACGTGAGCCTACCACCTCCTGTGCCACACTTTGTTGGGAATGGCGATTGAGTATCTCCATAATCGCCACCCAAGCTTGTTGAAAACATAAGTCATTTCGTCTAAGTTTCCACTGAGGGAGACACCTGCCGTGCCTTGTGGATTCTTGACTCGGTGGAGTCTTGAGGCTTGGTAACATTAAGGGCTCACACGGAGGTGACCCGTGTATTCTCGGTATTTCTAAGCCAAAAAAAAGTGCGGGCGTGTGTCCACAGGGCACGATAATCCCTGCACCATCAGTAAATGGAATCCCATCGCCCAAATGCATACCAAAATATATAGCGAGAAGATGGGACCACAACTGGCTACGCCAAATTGAGGCGGAGGCGACGAGGATGCGGGCGAGCCGGCCACCTCGGCCGACCGAGAAAAGAAGAACTCGAGACGATGACTAGCAGCTTGGTCTTTCATGCTGATTCTCATTTTAGGTACAGGCAAGGCGTCGGGTGTCGGCGGGAATGTTGATGAGCATGATGGCGAGTAACCCTACTGCGCAATCGGTCATTCTCTGCTCATCTTCTACCGTCGTCTCCTTTTACAAAGATCGGTCGGGACCTCTAGTCAAAAATTGCTTCCCGTCCCGGTTAACAACCATAAAAATATTGCAGAGGGCCTAGGGGCTTGGGGCTTTGGCCTTCGTCTGAGGTCTCGGCGCAAGCCTCGGGCGAACGGCTTTTTTTTTGTAAGGCTTAAGCAATATTTTCGGTTCTTGCTTGGGGTACCCCTTCTTGTGGTATCCGACAAAAAGGCAAATCAGATCTTCTACCGTTCTCCTTTTACAAAGATCGTCTCTAGTCAAAAGCTTCTTCTTGGTTAACAACCATAAAAATATTGCACTATAGGGGCCAATTTACAGGGTGTAGCACAATTTTGCGCCGATCGATGCCAGTCCCAGCACAGGCACAGAGCCATACCAAAGCGATGCAAATCGGTGAAGCATCTAATAAAAAATGCATAACAAAATTCCTTGACCACCAGGATTGTGTTCCGAAATGGAAGGGTGCACTATAGGGGGCAATTTACAAAGATCGTCTCTAGTCAAAACCAAAGTAATCTTAACTTTCGTGTGTATTAGGTGAAGTGTGCGCAAGATTGATATGATCGATGTAGCTAGCTACCCGTGGAATATAAGGTTGATGAGTTGAGTTGAGGTCCAACAGCATGACTTGGACTGCCGATTCCAACTACACTCTCTCCCCGAAACGTAGTAGCCACTAGCCAGACCAAAGGGCAGGAAGGTGATGCGTACGTGATTTTGCAGAGAAGAATATACAGATACACGGCACAGACTAATGTGAACGTGATTGGACGGAAGAGGGGAAAAAAAGCTAGTGTGTTGAGCCATGTTGTTTCTTAACTTAAGTTTTTGTATCCATTGGAGGATAATAACGAAGGGAGCAGGTCTTACTTTGCTTCCACATGGGGAGAGCCCATGTTTCTTCGCTATGTGTCCTATCCATCTTGCCTGTGTTGCAACGAAAACACGAGGCAGAGACCAAAGGGTTTGAGCGAGAGCGCTTTTGATTGGAGCAGAGGGCACAGCACCAGCACGGATAACGCGTCTAGTTCAAAAGGGGAAAATAACGTCCTTGACCTTTCTAAAAATGTTCTGTGTAGCAGTTAACAACAAATGGAACCTGGCCTGCTGTTGCTGCAACTTGCAACCTAAGACAATTAAAGGCGAAATGGTCTTTAATCTAATCAAGAAACGAACGATCTCTGTTATTTTTACTATACTATTTTCTTGTTGTTGCCCGGGGCCATCCTCAACGGAAATGATTTCACCGGGCAGCACGCACGGTACGGTGACAATAATGTAAATTCTAGCAAAATATGTATGCACGACAGTGATTACAAATTTGTAGTGAAACATATATACACGACGCACTGGATAGGCAGCAAACCGAACCAAAGACAGAAAAACAAAGCTACTCCTTCGAAGAGCATCTCCGAGACCCAGAGACGTTCTATGTTCCATATCTTCATTTAGCTATCTACTTCGTAAAAATCATTTCTTCAAAATTTAACATATTTCAACAGACTAGCCATATCTTTTAGAGGAAGGAATAGAGCTGGGAGCAACGCAAACATAACACTAGCTGTCAGCCTCACATACGTTAAGATAGCATGGCATGCTGGCTAGCCAAATTTTGCTACCGAGGTTCGAGGGATAGCATATCAAATGGGATAGTAATCGTGTTGGCTAATCTTTTGGAGACCATTTTTAGAGCTTTAGCTAAAAATAGCATTTGCATGTTAGATAGGTTAGAGATGCTCTAATAGTGGTCGATCACGGCGAGTTCGATGGTGGGCAGGAGGCCAGTGGCCTGGATGACTCGGCGGTTCATCGTCCTCTCCCTCCCGCGACCGTCTCCTTTTCTTCCTTCTCATCTCCGGCGGGCGCCTGTATGATGACAAGCCCGGCGCAGGAGCAGCAGCTTTGTTGGGCCAGAAAATTTGCACAAGAGACGTTATTGGGCCAACAAATTTGCACTAGACAAACAGCTTTGTTGGGCCAAAAACAAAATCTAAGAATCGAGCCGAAGAAAGAAGGAAACCCTAGCAGAGAAGCCGCCGTCGCCGCGGGCCACCCTATAAATACAACCCTCCTGAAGGCTGAAGCCGTCACGTTCCACCATCTTCTCTGCCCGCCGCCGCCGCCACTGCAGCTAGAAAACGTTGCCTCGTCTCGTGCCTGCACCTGTTCGACGTTGCCCTCCTCGTGTGTTTTATTGTTTGATTTTGGACCTGCTTTCTCTTCTGGTGTTCCTTTTTCTTCTTCCTCGTATTGAGAGGAAAGCTTAGGTTGTAATGGGGGCAATGATGATACAAAGTCATGCACCACTCTGAATGAGGGGATTATTTTCTCTCTTTGGGCTGACAAACGAACTTTCTACCCATTTTTCGTCTGAGCCTTCTACTTACATGTGCTTTCTCCCTGTTCTTTGGTTGCGTTTTGTGGGGTTTCTTGTGATTCCTGAGAACTGATGATGTGGATCGACCGATCCAACCATGATGCGGACTGAATTTCATTTGAGGTCAAATCTATTGGCTTCTGATGGTTCTCGAGTTACCTCCCTATGTCGTTGCTTGTCCAGCATCTTTCTTTCTTCCCTCGAAAAGCCAGAGGGCGAAAATCAATGCGTTTTTGTCTTTGGTTTTTTAGCCGGCTTTGTTTTGGATCTGCTGCTGCGTTCAATTGGTATTGATGAAAAGAGTAGTTTCAAAGAAACAGATGAAGCCAATTTGCAGAGCAAAGGAGCCAGATAAGTGGCGATCTTTGCATTGAAGGTTGGCGACACCAAAACTGCAGTTCTCCGTGCCGCTCAGATTTCTCTCTGTTTTGTGACGGCCTCGAACAAGCTGCTACATCTCTTATCTGTGATCCAAGCTGTATTTTTTTCGTTCTGGGCTTTTTTTCCTTCGTAATGCTACGGAGTAGCTATTAAACTGACGTGAACGATCTCAACATGCAAGAATACAGTATGAGGCGCATGACAACTGAAGACAGCGCTGCACACAAACTGATGATGACAACTGAAGAATGCGCTGCACACAAATCAAGATGAGCTGATCAAGAGAATTGATGAAGGGAACTACTTTTCAGCCATAAACGCGTTTTCTCTCACAACATTTCAGCGTAAGCGAACAGGTTGGTGAATGGCACGAAGAATCCACTACATACTCTATGCTTACAACGAACGGTCTGCTACGGTATAATCAGTAAATGTCACGGATGACTCTTGCTACGGTATAACCAGTGAATGTGGGGCACGGAACAGAGGTGATCAGTTTCTCATAGGGTATAATGAGTGATGAATCACAGAGCTGATCAGTAATTTTATTTTACATTTGAAAAAAATGTATCTTTTAAATTCACAAAATTGATTCAACGTGTAGAATTCTGATTGATGCCCACAACAAAACTGAAGAATATTTCACGCTCCTTTGCATAAGACTAGACAGACAATTGTTATGCAGATCAACCATAGAGACAATGCAATAGAGTAATGTAGTGCAATCAAATAATAGTACCAAAATGTATTGGCTTGCGCTGTATTGCAAGTCCTGAATGGCACTCTCTTTGGTTCTATGCGTCAGCTATCTACAAATTGCTTGTGTTTGGTTAATCAGTAATCAGACTCTTAGGTAGGTTCGTAAAAGTAAATTCAAGATTTGATCGTATTGAACATTTCAGGTTTGCATAAGTTTACGATCATATAAAATCGTCTCTCCTCTAATACAAACATAAAACCTCTAATAAAAACATATAATAAAAACATATAGGTTATGTTTGCTTCTCTTATAATCCTTACTTTTCAGCTTATTTTTTCAGTTTTCAGCTTATTTTTTCAGTCGGAATAGTGTTGGCCATAGATGACTACATGCAACACAACATAAGCAATCAAATACTACAATTTTACCAAATGCAATAACTAAACACCAAGACATTGCATATCTTTATACTAGCTACTATATAAGGTTAAATAATTGTAGGACAACTAACGCAAGTAACCAAATAACACCCTGGGAATACACCCTATATGCACCCATAGTAAAGAAAAGAAAATTTTCATGTACTTGAAATAGGGCATGTGTTTCGCATAATTCAGTAACAGAAGCAGCATCAATTTCGACTGCCGTGTCAAAGGCAGGTTAAACAAAAATTTAAGTTCAGAAAAAATAAAGTTACAATTACACTTCCTCATACATCAAATGGACTGGCCAGTTTCGTGTCATACTCTGGGACAGTGGTACATCTCGCAGCACCTGCTAACACTCTAGCTCATAAAATTTGGTACAGGGGGGCGCTGTAGCTCAGGATGCAGAACAGGACACCATAAAAAAAGATGAATTTCCACTAAATTCATCGGGTTAGTATCTGAGCTGCTACACGTACTTGCCTCTGTACTTGGGCTTGGACTCCCTATCAGGCTTCCCATCCTGAGCTGGCTCGAACACCGCGGAGTGGAGGTTGCCCTCCTCCATCCACTTCTGGTGGTTCTCCCTGAACTCCTGGTGCCGCTCTGCGGCCATCTTCTCGATCTCCTCGGTGTAGGGTGCGACCTTCACCATGGTCAGCAGAACACGGCTGTACCGAAAGCTCAGGATCTGCTCAGAGGAGGTGATCAACTTGAAGCAGGGGTGCTCCGGGAACTGCGGGTTTGCAGCGCCATCTTCACCTCGCAATACAGGGTAGAAGAAGACAAGCCTGCCACCCATGACTACCATCCTTGCGGCGAGGTGGAGGAGGTCATGGACGCACTCGGCGAGGCTGTATGCCGCGGTTGATGGGATGTGGTTGTCCCGTTTCTCATCCGGCACTGTGTAAGGGCCTTTGACGCCTTTTAGGAGCTTCCGACCACCAGACTTCCGGCCACCAGCCCGGACACCATATGGTGGGTCACAAATTATTGCATCGAACATCTGATTGATGACAAGCAGTGGTATTTTTAATTAAGACAAATCTGATCAAGCAAGTAATATGTTTTAAAATAGCTCATTGAGGCAGCAGCAACAATTCCCTAACAACTGACAAATAAAGACAGGCTCACAAATTGTAGACTCCAATAAAAAAGAACTATTCCCTAATGAAAGCCTAAGAAAGAAACAAAAAACTCATGAAAGCCTAAGAAAGAAACAAAAAACTCAAAATATAAGCTTTAATCAAATTTTATGTAGCAATGCAATAGCTTTATTAGGCAACGGATTTACCGGTTGCAGAAAAGGCTTCTCAGCATAAGTGAGAGCATTAATCATGAAGGCACTTTTGTTGAGTTTGAGCGCAAACACATAAAATTATATACTGAATTTGCACTTCTTTCCAGCCTAATATCCTACTCCGTGATGCAAAATTAGATGGATTATTATGTTGTTTCATCAGGTAAATTTGTTTATTCCAGTAGACCAGAAATAGAGATAGTAAGTTATAGCCAATTGTTGTCTTAGGTTCTTTGGTAAAAAAAAGTTTGCTCCAGAACTAGAGCTATACTGAACAGACAAGCTCCATGTGATCATGTGGGGGACTTACAGCGCAACTAGAGGTTTCTACATTGTGCATTTTGTGGAAAAGGTTACTTGCATTTTCAGTTCACACACTAATAATCACTGATTAATGTTAACATTAAAATGCATGCGCATAAATAGTAGATAATGTACAACTGTTACTGTTACCTCCTTCGATCCTGGGCGCCAAGGTGGGAGGTTGTTGTCTGCCCTTAGCAAACACAAAGGCTCTGGTAACTTGTACTGATAAACAGACATGTTAGTACTTAACATTAAATCTAGCATTCCAGCCATTCAATTAACAAATGAACCCCTAAATATTCTTGCCAAAAAGAAAAGGTGAATAACTAAACATGGATATCTTCCGTGACTTAAACTAGTAAGTCAAAAAAATCATGCAAATCATGACATAACGAGGCTAATATAACAAGCATGGGCATGTTTCATTCCTGTGTTGGCTTGCTTTGCCTTGCCCACAAGAGAAAGCCTTGCCCTGCCAGCCCAAGCAAGCAGAAATACCTCTCCCTTCGAAGCAAGATAAAAACTTGGCAGCACAGATCCCATTCGATTTCTCACTCGGCAAGGGATCATCAAAGAACCAAGCACATTAATCCCAACAAGTTGAGGTAATTCTCCAATTGAATCAATTTAAATAAATAAAAGAATAACAAAACCCTGCCTCATCCCTATTGGTAGCCGCTTGGGCCACCACTGACAAAACAGACCCTATTTTGAGTCGTCGAGGATAGAACTATGGTACGGAGTCTCAAAATCTAGCATCGCTAGATCAACTTATGAGTGTTACTGATTTGTTGAGATAGTCTAGAGATAAAATCGACAAGAGTCACAAATATAGAGGATAAATAAAAGTTCAAAAAAAGTATTTGTCGTGACAGGGAAATCACTGTTGCCATCATCAATTGTTATAACACCTACCAATATTGCTGTACATGCACTTTTCATGAGCCTCATAATTCCAAACAAATTGCAGATGACTGGGCTATAGAGACAACAATAGCATGCAAGAAGCTGATTGAAGATAACAGTGTGAAATTACCTGCTCAAAGTTGCTCCAAACATTGCAATTGGGGCCACGGCCATCCCGTACAACCCTTATATCGATATCTGCACCCTGAAAAGCCTTTATCAGAAAGACATAGAGACTAACAAAATTAGAAGGTATATTTATTCGCACAAACACAAACCATCGTCATAGCTCCAAAATGCGCAGCTGCAACCAAAATGCTACCGGTCCCAACAAAAGGGTCATAGACAAGCTTCCCAGGCCGGGCCAGACCCTGATTGGCCATGAGGAAAGCCATTTCAGCATCCATTGCAGTCGGGCCAATGTACTTCCTACTCTTGAGCTGATATGTTGGCAGGAGATGCCTATCAGCAGCTCCAACCTCCCGGCCAAAGAATATTGACCTCTTCACAACCGGTGGGAGACCATTGTTGGACCCATAGTCATCTGTCTCCATGACAAAGAACCTGTGGTCAGGCTTCTTCAAATTAACACGTCCCTGAAAAGAAACAAAAGGTTAAGCCTCATTACGGCTAATACCATTCAGCAGCATCCACAAGATCAGCACCAAAAGAAATGGACGAAAGAATATGTCATCAACCTGGAATGGTATGTAAGTGAGGCTCTGTATGATCTCGTTCTGCTCTTGGGAGCTGATCACCTTGCCGAAGCTGTCGATAACGATCTTGAAGGTGCTTTCCGGGGTCAGGAACGGTAGCTTCCTCTCGTCAGGGTACTCCCTGACCGACTTCTCCAGCTCCTCGTAGGTGGTGCCATGGCCCCAGAGCTCGTAGATCCCCTTCACCAACAAGCCTACCCGGCACGACGACCGAGAATCACGCAGAGCAATCAATAAACGGCAACGGGAGGAGAAGGTTGGGAAGTCTAAAAGGACCTGAGCTCGCGCTTACTGCGGTTGGCGACCTGGGCGGCGAGGCGCACGTCTCCGGGGAGGCGAACGAGGTGGAAGGGAGAGTCTACGTGGTGGTTCTCCGGCATGCGCCACTCGACGGATTCGCCGGCGCCCGGGCCGGCGAAGAGCTCGGCGAGGGACTCCACCTCCGGCCGCCGGTAGTCCAGGAGCCTGTGGTAGAAGACGCATAGGTACCACATCTCTCTTGCGCTGCCTTTCTCCGGTCCCTTTACTACTCCAGCGGGAGCAGAAACGCTGGGGGCGCTGTCGTGGTTCGGCGTCTCCGGCGGCGGCGGCGGGAGGGAATCAAACGAAGAAAAGGAAAGATTGCGAGAAGGGAAAAAACCTACCTAAACCCCCCCATAACGGTGACTGAAATTGGGGCCCGCTAAGGTGTCCGCGTGTTTTCATGGGCTGGGCCTGCACAGGAGCATGGGCCGACAAGTTCTCCTCGAATTCGTGACAAAAATAGTAATGGGCTGTTTCTCAATAAAAAAAGTAATGGGCCACACTTCTGTGCAACTCCACCATTTTCTTTTTATATTTGTCTCCCATTATTAGTTGTTTTTATTAGATATTATCAAAAAAAAATTGTTTTTATTAGAGCATCTCTTGTATTACCCTAATATCCCCATCCCCATAAAACTGTCATGTTAGAATGCCTATACTATACATTTTTTCTTGCTCCAGCAGCAATACCTCTCCTTTTTTTTATAACCACCAATATGTTCCTCATCTCCCCTCAAATAAAGGGGAAGTTGCATCTCCCCAATAGCATGGGGACATCCCAACTACCACTTTTCAACCATCTTTTCTCTACACTCCTATGGAGCCTTATTGGGGGTACTACTACAGAAACTCCTCCAATGTTCATAAAAATGATATCGGATTATCCTAATGCGTACATATTAGGCATATATTATTGAAAAACTAGTGGAGATGCTCTTAAAGAGTATTCCACGACCCTAAGGGCCCCTCAAAAAGGGAACTCTTCCTTGAATTGACCGGAGAGTAGGTATAAAACTCCATACCTAAAATCTAAACATGAATTGTCCGGATCCGATTTTGAAATATGTAAACACGAAATAACCTATTGCTATTTTGGATACTAAGTCTAGAAACATGATTTTAGTTTGGATAATTCGGGTATCATGCCCGAGTACCTAATTTATCATTTTACCCGAAATAGTGGAAGCGTTTATGCTTTTTACTATTTGTGATTGATTGATTGTGCTATTTTCTAATGTCAATTGTGATGCGTAATGCTCGTGTTTTTTCCTTCAAAAATGCTACTGAATTTTTTTATTGCTTAAACCTGCGGCTAGAGTTCTGTCTCTTTTGATTTTTTTATGGTTTTACTGATTTTGAATAGAATTGTTTTTCAAGAAAAAAATTCAGGTTTCAATTTTGGAAACATGAAATTTCTTAAAGCTTAGATTTTCTGGCTCGAACTTTTTGGGTAACCCAAATGGCCACCTCTAGCTACATGTACAGTACCTGCCACACGATGTGACGGTGAAACACATTTTGATGTAGATTTGACATTAAAATGTTTATAGAAGCGACTAAGAAAAACATATTGCTTTTAGTAATATGTATATGGATAGATACATAGATAGATTTATTTGATATTTGTAAATGCTTAGGGCCTGTTTGGATTGGAGTTTTTGCATAGGAATATTGAAGGAATAGCAACCCTTTGTTTTGGTGACGTCATACGTCGTTTGGAACGTAGGAATGCTCTTTCCCGTTCCTCAGGAAAGGTTCCCTTTGCTTCACAAAATACAGGAATCTAAACCTCCACTCTGCATCCATTTTTTTGCTGAAGTCCGAGGCGCACACGACAATGGTGAGAGGGAGAGAGAGCAGCTTTGCGGAGAGGACAAAGACTGCATAGGAGATAACGATGGCAGTAATGGTCGTAATCTTTTTTGCGCATCCTGTAGAGGACTCGTGGTGGGTTGAGTCTATGGACAAAGGGTCCCACGTGGAAGTGGCATAAACGAGAAAGAGTGACCACTAATTAATGAATCAAGTATTCATGTCTTTTAATAACACCTCATGTTTTGAGACTCCTGTGTTATAATTCATACGTTTCAAACACCTCTATCTATATTTTTTTAGTGTTTTTTCATTTCTCTGTTTTTCATAACATCTGTACCCCGTTCCTGCATTTTTTTTTTTTTTCTCCGTTTTGCATTGTCCATGTCGGCCAAAGGCAAAAAGAGACGGTGCAAAATAGTTTGGAGATGCGGGGGATCGAACCCCGTGCCTCTCGCATGCAAAGCGAGCGCTCTACCATTTGAGCTACATCCCCTTCGATGTTATTTTCTAACCTTAATACTGTCTTCTGATTAATACATACTTACAGCCACTAACCAAACTTGACAACTTGTGCATGTAATTGGGGCGCTTATCACGATCTCTATTTAGCAGTGCACCGCTTTTGGCCCCAACGCACGGTTTCTATTATGGCTCTTCCAATTGATTAGTTTCCTTACGGTCTAATTAAAGTTTTCTTTTCTTTTGCGAGTATATCTCCATCTCCTTGCATGCCGGTTTTTTAATCTCTTTCTTTTCTTACATGAATGCAAGAATGCATCTCTGATTAGTTTTTCCTCCTGATTACCTTTGTTCCAGACTTCATTCACTCGCACAATAAGAATCACTGGCACCACGGGCGCTTATCTCCATAGTAGATTGTTACTAGGAAACTTGGATTTTGAGCACCTGAAATCAACGAACCTGATTGTTATAACACGTGATAGCTACCCGCTGTCACCAAACCAGGCCAACAGCGGACCTATCCGGCTTGGTCCTACCTCCCACGTGACTCCGTGACCAATTTTTTTTATAGCGCAGCACTCAAGCCATCCTGTAGATAAATGTCGCATGAGACATGATACAAAGATACTGTACCAAGGGTCTTTACTTTTCAGCATTCACAATGTCAAACAGCATATTAGCCAACCAACAAATTAGGGAAAATGAAACGTTGGTCGTATCTCACTGAGTTTTCTGATTACAGGGAGGATAGAACACCTTCCGAGACGCCTGAGCTCTGTCTGTGCAATTCGGTGTTCACCCTTGCCAAAGTTGAGGGGCGCTGCAGACCTTCAAAGGGAAGGATCTGTGCTTGCCATGATCCTTCAAACAGGAGTTGGAAGTCTAGCATCTGAGTTTATTTCTCAGATGCGCATCAAACCTGATAATGCCTATGAGCGCCTGGACCTTTCATAATTCTGCACTTCTTTGTGGAGTAAGAATGCATCTCCTTGGTCGTTGTTGAATGCACGCCGCTCAAAGCTACAAAGTGTGAGCTGCCTTAGTAACCTCTCGAGACACGAGTAAAGGCAGCTCTCAGGGTCCTTCATGGTGGGGTTCGTCGACAGGACAGCTGCGTTCACTGCGTCCGCCACAAATTCACACTGGGGAGAGTCCATCAGGTATCCAATGCATGATTCTGCAGGCTTCTCATACGCAAGTAGGGCCACACTATCCTGCAGAAAACAGCTAATTCTCTATTTAGCTCATCAATACAAAGCGCCTAAGCTCATTGAAATTGTAAACACACCAAGTTAAGAAGATTTCATTTCAACAAACAGATTTTACAAGAACATTACTAATGTAAAGCACAATGCATACAACAGAACAAAAGAAAGCCAACAAGAAAAAAAAAACAAATGGCATTACCTTCAGCAGTCCCTCAAAAGCTTTGTGTGTCAAGAAGCTTGCCAGGTTAGCACGACCATATTTCACAGCATCCTCCAGTTGTTCAGCCTAATGCATTAGAGAAAGAATATAAATATTAGTTGATATGCAATGCAGCAATGAAGTGGCGTACAATCCATTCAGCCTATAATGAAGTGGTGTGATCTATGAAGCGCAGGAATTGAAATTTGAATATTCAGGTAATTACCCTGATATATTCTATGAATCTTTGAGAATGGAGTAGGAAGCAAATAACCGATTTCTCATCCTGCAAAGGAAAGAAATTCTTTCTTAGAACACACGGAGATTATAACTAAGTTCTTCAGGAAAACAGGACTGAAAGTATGACGAAGACATTAATCGTAACACAAGTGTCGGGTATCGATATTAGGAATACCCAAAGCAAGGAGGTTAGCGCCCACGCTGACTTCCCCGAATGGGGCAAGACGTATTAAAAAGTCTCGTCCGACCCCAAGGCCGCGGGCTCCGTCTCGCTCGACCTCAAGGCCATGGGGGTCTCGCCCAAAGCCGCGGACTCCGTCTCGCCCGACCTCGAGGCCGCGGGCTCCTTCTCGCCCGACCCCTAGGCCGCGGGCTCCGTCTCGCCTGACCCCTTGGGTTCGTGCTCCGTCTCACCCGAACCCTTGGGTGCGGGCTCCGTCTCGCCCGACCTCGAGGCTGCGGGGGTCTCGCCCAAGGCCGCGGACTCTGTCTCGCCCGACCCCTTAGGTTCGTGCTCCGTCTCGCCCGACCCCTTGGGTGTGGGCTCCGTCTCGCCCGACCTCAAGGCCGTGGGGGTCTCGCCCGAGGCCGCGGACTCCGTCTCGCCCAACCTCTAGGTCGCGGGCTCCGTCTCGCCCGACCTCGAGGCCGCAGGCTCCGTCTCGCCCGACCCCTCGGGTGCGGGTTCCGTCTTGCCCGACCCCAAGGACGCGGATTCCATCTCGTTCGACGGGGACCCATACCGCCGCCAACCACTCCAGGTCCAAGTGTATGGGTCTGGGTCAAAACTCTTACACCAGGGAGACTGGCGCGCCTCGATGTAACCCGTGACCATGACGGGTCATACCTGAGGATTCACATCAAGAACAACGTCGGGCGTGCCGGTGCTGTTCTGCCTAACCCTCGTACGAACGCTGACAGGCGCGTCAGTTCCACCACGACGTCCGCTGAGATGGAATGGAACGCCATGACCAGCAGATGACGCCTGCGCATGGCACCAGTGACAAACAGAGCCGCGACATGGAGCCGTCCCTGTTGACATCTACAGGATCGGCGGGACCCGCATAAAGGAGAAGAAGGACCCGGCGATCCTGAAAGCCTTCTTCTCTCTCTCATTCTTCTCCTTTTCCTCCGCTGTAACCCGCGCTTTCCCTTCGCCTATAAAAGAGGAAGCAAGGCGCCCCATGAAGGGGGATCCAGATTCGCACGAGACCGAACCACGAGATAAAAACACAAGAGCACGGCACGAGCACACGGCTAAGCAGCAATCGAGCTCTCAGCACCCGTTCACCAGAGACTTGGGATCCTTTCCCTCTCTCGCCTGTTTGTAACCCCTACTGCAAACCAAGTGCCGGTAACACGAGCAACAGCAAACTGGACGTAGGAACGTTCCGCTCGAACCAATATAAACCCTTGTGTCCTCCGAGCCAAACGCGCAAATACAAATTTACTCGTCGGTGGTCCAAAAACACCGACAAGCTCGGAAGATTATTTGAGAGATAATATCTGTCATATTTTTTCCTGGAAATAACAGGGCGATGGTAAATTAAATCAACCACAAGAATGTAGAGTATACCTTTATCACTTGTGGATACCACTCCCCAAGTCTTTTGAATGTAGAGTCGATATCTCCACTCATGATAAGCTTTATCAAATAAAATAAACTGTTTTCAGAAGGCAGAAGCCATACCAGAGGCCAAAAAAAATCAAGAGAGGGCAATATCAAATCAATATCCAGCTGCATTTGCAAGATACAGTGGAATGATGTGGAATGTATTACTACAACATATTTTTGCTGCACAACCAAAGATAAAAGAGCTCAAGCTTGCAAGGCAGCTGAGAGCAAAGACCAACTGTCACTTTTCTGTGAGAATAGAAAGTGACAGCTAATGAGCTCACACGCATGCAAATTTAAAATTCCAAAATATAGAACTATCAAACCAAATTGATTGGTAGTAAAAACAAACAAAAGTCAGATCATCCCCATAAAACGTATAAACAGTAACCACAATAAAGATACTTCACACAAAGTTTCCCATGCATCAATCATGAGGAACTGGTGCCTAATTGTCAACACTCTATTAAACTGGACTAAAAATGAAGTGTATATGTAACTATTTTTGTTCGAGGAAAAAAAGTTCTGTGTAACTTTTACAAAGTATCCACTGAATTCACGGAGATGCTACCTAAGATACAGAGAAATGAATTCAACAATCAGTTGCATTGAGTTTCTAAGCTCACCTGACGCAAAATTTTTCTGTGGCTAAGACCATACATTTCGGGAGGTTCTGCATGACCATTTTGGCGATTGGTGGGGGGATCAGTTGCATTTGCCATATCAAAAGCATTTAATGTATCTTGGTATCCATAATGTAGGAGATATGAACGGACAATCCTGTCACAAGTTCATGGTGCGTATACATAAGATAAGGCAACGTAGAATGGATTTCAAAAAACAGTAGACCCATGGAATGCAATAAACCAGTAATTAAAAATTTTAATAGAACCTATAAATAAGGTAACATGGAAATCAAGATGTGGAGACAGTAAGCAATGAAGTAGACAAGAAGTGAGTATCGGCAATACCAATGACTGATGTCTGGCTCCAAGTTCAATTTATCAGACACCGATTGCTGCCTCATTTTCTCTTCAAAAATATAACCCTGCCAATAGAAGCAAAACACATCAATTGCAAAAGCTGCTGACAGAGCACACCAGAACATTTGTGAATTAGTGTTCAGTAAATGGGATAAAGCCAATAATATATGATCACTATATCCACATCTTCCGCATTAACTCGCTATGTGGTTATGTAAAGAAAGAGCTACAGTTGCAACTGTTAACCATAAAGGAAAAATCAATTGCATTTTAGTGTCATAATATTTTTGTGGTGGTTGGCCAACAACACACTAAAGGGTGCATGAGATCAAAATTCCTGTCAAATGTATTTGATTTGATAATGCAGCCACATTTACCAAAAATCTGATGAGTAATTCTAATAGAAAGTGAAGCATGTGCCATAGATGCAGAAGAGTATTATTGATATATACAGCTAGTGCCATCAATAAGGGCTTTCAGTTGCAACAGGAAAAAATTAGAACATTTTGATGTAGCTCAGTGAGGAATGGTAGATGAACAAAAACATCTAGAATAAACATCTTGTCTCACCTCAATGTCAAAACAGAATGGTTCTTTTCCAAAGTTAACAGTCAACCTGTAATAACAACAGAGTCCTAAGCAACTTGGAGGAGGATGAAAATGAAAAGGTATAGATATAACTTATATACTCCCTCCATTCCAAATTATAAGACATTTTGGCTTTTCTAGATATATTATTTTTACAAGGTATCTAGACATAGTGTATATCTAAGTGCGTAGCAAAAGCTATGTATCTAGGGAAGCCAAAACGTTTTACAATTTGGAATTGGGGTTGGGGGGGGGGTATAAAAAAGCTATCACAGATAGTGCAGCAAATTCTGAACACCACATATGACATAACTTCTTTAGGTAGGACTTTACATTCCAACATAAATCATCAATTCAACAGTTGACTCACTGTATCTTTATATGTGAACCTAAGAATTAAACAGGGAGTAATTAACTTGTGTTACTATTAAGGCGTATGACTTGTGACTTTATACACCGTGCTAGAAGGAAAAACCATCATATAACATGCAAAAGACAAATGAGTAAATTGCATTTTGGCACAGGTATTACTATCCAATTCTGCCAGATGTTTCTGTAACTCAGGTTGGAATACCTGGGGTGAAACGCAACTTACTCCAAATAGCAATTATATGTCACCTAAGCAACTAAAGGAAGTGTCAGCTTACTCTTCACCCTGACTATGAACTGCAATGGTAGGATATAGTGGGCCTTTAATTTCTTTTGGAACGGATCCAACCTGAGCTCCATTTTTCCTGCAAGATGCTGCGTGTAATTAGATCACAGTGCAGCAATATGTTCTGAAATCTAAAGGGCATAAGGTAAAAGCCTCAAGAGAAAGAACCAAAAATAAGAATACAGCACATTCCAACCTGAACATAAAAAAGAATGGCATTGGCATGTCGAAACTAGCAAAGAGCCAAAGAGTGGTGCCAGGTGCATATACAAATACTCGATTCGTTTCCTAAATTCAAGATTTGACATTCTACAGATGTACTGATAACAATGTTTGCAAAGATAGAAAGGTTTATAAGTGCCATACAAATATATTGATAATCCTATGTTCAGCCAACCAGGGGGGGGGGGGAATGCCCTAGAAGGTTATAATAGCCAGTCAAACAAGCAAACACCATCAGTTTACTAAGAACTCACAAACTTACGTGAAGAAAAGTTCTTGTGACAAGTAGTTGATGCCAGCGCCAATTATGTCACCAGATGTGAATTTTGGCCCAAATGCTTGACCTTTCCCTTGACCCACGTAAAGGTGGCCATCGTCACCATGGTATCCACAACTGTTTGACTCCCAACTAGAAAGAACAAAGGGCACAAAGGATAAATTTGAGAGAGAGAAAATCAGTTAGCCACATAAACACTAGCATTTACAATATGAGGTCAGCTTGAAATGTAAAGGAAAGAAGAGAAGGGGTCTTTATAGTTAACCTACAGAAATTCCATAAATCAGAAATAGTCTGACAGTCTGCGAGGACAGCCCCTTTAAGCTTACAATTAGAAATTTAGCTATAGCATGAAAAAGACCTTAGCGACAAATAGCCAATCATGGTCACTTAACTAACATTTGTAGATTTCCGGAACAAATTGTACACGAATTTATACAAGTGATGCAATTATCGGAAATTACATCCCAGGCTTTCATGATAAATGACAGAGCAGAAAACGTAAATCCTAACTAATCAGAAAAAACAGGGCAGCAAGGCAAGGATCCTCACCCCGGTTGTCGCCTCATCTTGAAGCTCTCGTTCGTGAACCCGATGGATGACTGCCCCTTGTGTCCCGCGTTCCTGACGCTCATCTCGAAGTAGTACACGGCCCGGCGCGTGGGCGCGGGGCGGTCGGCCTGCACGACACCGACGTCGTGGCCGTGGTGATGGCTGCCGAGGTATTTCACGGACAACTTGTCGGTAGAGACGACGGAGAAGAGTCCCGAGCTGTTGAGGGTGTTGAGCTCGGACGGCGCCGGCTCAGCCTCCAGCTCCGCCGCCGCGCAGGCCCACTCCGCCTGGGATCGCCACCGCGACGCCAGCCGCATCGGGTCCACCGTCGCCCCTGCCCCCGGCGCTGCCGCCGATGCCGCCTCCGCCTCCTGGTTCGTCACCATTCGCCTATCCACCCCCGAGAATGAAAAAAAAACAGTATATTAAAAAGAAGGGAAAATTCACCGAAATTGGGGGAAAACGAACGCCGATCCCGACCAAACCCTAGCATGAAGGAAATCGCGGGAACCAGGATTGGATGGGAGACGAGCTTACCGGGAGGCGGAACGGGCTGGATCAGTGGTTGCTTGCGGTTGCGGGAGATGTGGAGGAGAAGGTCAGTGTAGGAGAGGGATGGAGCCGGCGCTGAAGAAGCGTGAGGAGTTGGAGAGAAGCAACTGGGTGGCGTACTCGAAGAGATACGGAGTGTGATTTGCAGGTTTTCTTGGGGGTTGATTTGGTAAATTGAGGCGTTCTTCTATGACGAATGGGCCACGTCTGTGATGGGCCGGTAATGGTGAATTGGTGAGTGATCTGTCTGTCACAACTCATACGTGGCCGGCCACCCTATGGTGGGCTTGTGTGGCACGGTTCAGCTCCGGCTTCGAGAGGAAGTAGGAGTCGAAGCTATAAAAAATAGCTTCTCTTCAGGAGCATTTAAAGAGAAATCGTGTCAAACAACTCTTAAGGCCTTGTTTAGATCACCTCCAAATTCCAAGTTTTTTCACTCTCTCTCAATCACATCAATTTTTAGCCGTTTGCATGGAGTATTAAATGTAGGTAAAAAAATAACTAATTACACAGTTTAGTTGAAAATCACTAGATGAATCTTTTAAGCCTAGTTGGTCCACGATTGGACAATATTTACCAAATAAGATGAAAGTGGTACTATTCATCAGATTCAAAAAAAACTTTCAATCTAAACAAGACCTAACTACGATAACAAAGAAAAAAGTGATGAAGTCCAAAATATGTTATAACTTTATATACTCATTACTCATCAGAAGAAGAATTAGACCAAAAATTAGAATACATTCTGAGAAAATGAAACTTTCCTTGGTATCGAACACTTTTTAATACAATAAAAGACAGCCTATTCGGTTGGCTGGTTCGTTTCGTTGCTGATTCATGAAGAAGTACTGCTGGCTGGTTTGTGTGAGAGAAAAATATTGTTTCGGCTAAAAATTTACGATCATTTACGATAAGCCACAGCCGAACAAATAGGCTAAGAATTGATCAAACCATAAAACTACAAGCATCGGTGATGTTATGTTGCAAATGTATAAGTTGTAGGTGTTGATATTAATTTAATGTCACAGCCATTATTACTTTCTCTATAATTTAGTTAAGTTTAAAATGGTTTAATTTAGAACATCTCTAGATATTGATTTATTTTGGAACTAAACTAGTAGTGGTCAAGGATACGCTTTTAAGGACGTGCAAAGTCTAACGTGTCTAGTAGTTTAACACTCAATCCATTTCAAATTATAAGGTGTTTTGGTTTTTCTAGATAGATACCTAGCTTTTGTTATGCACATAAATATATACTATGTTTAGATACATATTAAAAGCAATGTATCTAAAAAAGCCAAAACATCTTATAATTTAAAACGGAGGGAGTAGTTTGTAAGAAGTCATGTATTAATCTATGTTCTAATTTTCTCAGCCTCTCATTAGATGTATGTAACATCCCGATGTTAAACACCAAATAAAATTTTGATCATGAGCATCATCAAGCGTAATCACCAAGTATCATGTCATAAATGCACCCCATGTTTCAATTATGGTATTTATATGTTTCATATATGATGTTCCAAGTGTTGCATGAAATGTTAACAACAATGACCTTGTTCGTTTGTCTTATAATCCGCACTTTTCAGCTTGTCTTTTCAGCCGGAACAGTATTTTTCTCTCACAACAAATCAGCCGGAACAGTGTTTCAGCTTATTTTTTCAGCGAAGCGAACGGGGCCAATATCGATTAAGGTTTTGTGAATTTTATATATGTGAATTTGCTTAAACGATTAAAATTTTGTTAAAATAAACTTAGTAGTACAATATGTGTGCTTTCATATAGAATCAAAAGTTGATGATGTTTCTAAATCAAATATATTTAAATTTGAGCTCCCAAGTTGAATCCAGTGCTATTTCTCAAACTTAGTCAATTCTGCCTAAGTCCCCGAAAAGTAGTGTTGGGTTCAATATTTGGTGATTTATTAGATGAATTTTCATAAATAAAAATTATCAAACTTTTGTTGTATTGCTTCACGTGATACTTGATCTTTTGTTACTGTGTAATTAGTTGTTAAGCTTAATAGATGTTTAACCTTTAATTAATTGCTCCAAGATGCTAACTTAAACAGTTTCAAAACCTAACTGAAAGTTCAGTTTGGCAGTTTCAAAGTGTCCCTCTTCTCCAATCAAAAACTTCAAAACCCTTGATCTTTTGGGGGTGGGTGTTTTAAGCAAAGATGGAGATCACATATAGGTGAATAACTTTTATACTTGGTGATGATCAAGTTGTTGCACAGAATTGGGAGAACAAGAGAGGAGAAAAAGGAGTTTTAGTCGGTGAACAGTGACCGGCAGGAGGCAGTGTGCCTGCTCACCGTCGGTGGTCTGCCGCCGCCCTCGTTAGCCACCTACGCGCACACGAACATGCAACTGTTCACGTGGTCGTGCTCAAGCAGAAGCTGGACACCCAGGTGCTTAGCCCGCGTCCATTATAACGCGACGTCGCCGGCACCCCTCCTCTTTTCCCTCTCTTGCGCCGCCGCCGACCATCTCCACCCCGTCGGTGAATTTCGTCGCCGTCGTTCCACTAAAGCTTGATTGCCCACGCCCATAGCCTCGCCTCGTCCTTGCGCGTCTGCTGAGCCCGCTCACGCTGTCCCTCTCCACCGGAGTCACCGGGAGCCGTCGTCTTCTCCCCCATCGTCCAGAGCGCCGCCGCGCACCCCTCCGCCGTGGCCAGCCCTCTACAGAGCATCTCCCTTCTTTCCGTCTTTTGCTCTAGCCTCGCCTTGATGTCGTAGTCATGATCGGCCCCTTTGTTTTGACTGCAGAGCTCCAAACGCGCCGAAACGCCGCCGCGACGCCAGGTTCACGCCGCCGCACTCGTCCTCACCGTCGGCAGCACGCTCCGCGCCGCCTCCGCTTCAACCGCCAAGCCGCGCGAATCATGGTGAGCCTCCCCGTGCCCTAGCGAACCTTGGCTGAGCTGGTCTCACATCGGAGCAATGCAACAGTCGCCGCACCGCCGTGCCATACGCCACCAAGCCACCATGGCCATGGCTGCGCACACCCCTTGTAACACCCTCGGTGTTACGCCCTAAACAAAATTGCTAAATCATGTCATGAGCATCATGTTTATGTGATAATGCATGTGATGGAATATGTGGATAAAATTTTTGGAACCTAATATGATCAATAAAAATGCTAAATGAGAGGCTATTCCATAACCCATGTATATCAAGTAGGGTTTAAAACCAATTTTTATTGAACAAAAATACTATAGAACATATATGTGGCGCTTAAATAAAGTTTGAAATATGAACTTTGTAGATGACAATAAAATTCTTGCTGTAAAAAAATAATATCGTTAGCTAACATTTTTTATAGCCTAGAAATAGAACTTGGAATCAAAATTCAAGACAGCAAGACAATGCCATGTTTGGGAATTTATTTTGTGAAATCGAGTTAAGAAGTGGTATCATGTTTTAGCTCGAGTTGGTAGCCTGATAAGCCCTCGCGAGCATGGTGAAGGTGGTTTGATTCCTAAAACAATCGTTTAGTTTTTATAGTTTTTATAGACGCTTTAAAATTCAAGCACGACACGTTCTCGGGCTGGTTCGCCGGGTGAGCGCTATCACCACGCTTGGCCGCACGGCGTCACGCGTTGGTTGCGCGCATGGGCTGCCGCATGTGGCTAGCCACGACTGCTCTGTCCTGGCTGTGGCCTGGCCGCCACTGGCCTCTTGCGCGCGGAGCCACCGCTACTGCTTGCGCAGCCAAGCGGTACTGCCGCCGGCCCCACAGTGACACAGCCGCTACCGGTGCCGTCGCCTCTCCATCACATCCGTGCTTCTCTCTGCACCTCTGCAATGCTACTGGCCCGGTTCGAGGCCACCACTGCCACATCCATGTGGTCGAGCTCGTCGTCGCCTTGCCATTTATGGTGCTACGCCGCGCGGGCCATGCTGGTCGTGGACGCACGCGCTTGTTCGTAGCATCTGCACACGTGCCTCCACGATCACGCTGACAGCGTCCCACCAAGGCAAGCCCAAGCTAAGCTCACCTATCACGCCCTGTCTCTCTATCTCTCTCTCTACTGCCACCGTCGAGCAGCGCCATCAAATGAAGCATCGAGCGATCACCTCCATTCAATTCAGCGTATCCACGGCTTCATCATCAAGTCCTCTCGCTACCAAACCCCACCCAACCTTGAACCGTGCACGACCAAGCTCCAATTTGGAACTTTCCCCACCGTCGTGCCGATATGGCCGCGCTAGACCATGGCCGAGGGTAGCCCTCCATCACTTCACCTCGAGCCAATTCCTATGCACCACTAGATTCGCCTTCATTCCCTCTTCGCCCTGCGTGCCATATTCGAGCCTCTACCGCCTCCTCATCGTCGCTAACGCGATCGTGCCGCCACGATGCGCCGCCGTACGGCTCGGCCGCACGTGGCCAGCCCTTCTTCGTCATCCTCCGCTCCAACCATCACCTTGGCCTGGTCTACGGTAGCCTCCTGATGCTCGCGCGCTAACCAATTAGGTCTGTAGCTGCCCCAGCTCGCCGAAACAGTGGTGCCGCTGTCGTGGATGGCCGCGTGCCGCTGCAGCCTTCCCCAGCAAGTCATATCACCCCACACCACCACTTAGCATAGCCGCTCGGGTCGGAGATGGTGACCGACCCGTTAGGAGGGTCGGCGCAGGTCCTAGGTGGCCGACGCGGCCGCGCTGTGTCACCGCCCACCGTGCCGCCATGCGCTGAGTCGCCGGGGGTGCGTGCTGGGGAATTCCATGAAAGCCAGGGGGTTAAGTGAGAAGGTTTGAGAGAGGGAGAAATAGCGTTAGGACTTAGTTGTAATTTAGAAGAAGTGTGAGGTCTATTTTGCAAAAGCG